CCCCTCCTCAAATACCGGAGTTACACAGGAAATGAGCACAGTCAGCTCCTCACACACCACGGCAGTGAAAACGTGCTCCCTTAGATTCATCCCCCTGAGGCTGTGAGATCCTTCTCCGTGGAGCAGAGCTCCAGATCCTGACCCACCAGGCCCCCCCCACCACACCGCACAGACTTCGTAGGAGACGGATTCGGGTCCGTTCAGCAGGAATAAGGGCACGACCTCTGGGGGGTTTCTTTCATCTCTGATAACAAAGCCTGGACCAACCAGCATCCTTTAAATCCACCTCCATCCCACCAGGATGAACGCCTGTCCCCGGGGGGGTTTTGGCTCACGCTGTTATCTCTGAGGGGTTAAATGAGTGGCCCTGGCTCCTCACTAATTAACCGGCCGAGCTGTAATCAGAAGGCCCGGCCAGAGAGCGAAGGCGAGCACCTGAGCGGGGGGGGGGGGGGGGGGGGGGGGGAGGGCGCTCGGCTGCAGCTTAGAGAAAGATGATCTGGGCTGGAGTTTGGCCAGTGGCGTGTTGGGAGATGTTGAGGCGTTCCTAAGAGGCAAAGCAGCGTCCACACATCTGCATCTGATAGCCGCTCGGAAGGAGCCATTTCCCAGCCCTGGGGCAGAGCCAGGGAGGACTGGAAGCGTCTCCAGAAGTCTAATGCAAAACACATTAAGAGCTCCCACAACCTGAGGAGTTTATTGTCTACTTGTCTGTTTCCAGCCTTTCACACATCAAATCATCTGAACGCCATTTAAGAAAATGAACACTGAGGAACAAACTTAAGAGGGCAAAAAAGGTTTGCACCTTGTTAATAGTTCTGCTTTAAAGTGAAGGATGTCACTTTATCTCTCTCAAATGCTTTTATCCCACTTCATCCAACCATGTAGGATAATAAAGAACTGATCCAAACCAGTCCTAGGACCCAACAGGCACTTTTTTTCCATTTTACTGACTCAGAGGTTTTTCCTCCACAAGTGGGATCTATTACATGTCACTGCATGCCTTTTTTTGTATGTAAAAGCTAACACACAAGCACAGATGTTATCCAAAGCGGGGTTTTTTTCTCACCCAGTGTTGGGGCTCCTGAACTCACCTGTGAGGAACGAGAAGCAGAAAGCAGCAACAAAAGCCCCGAACGACATGTCAGAAGTCTCGCGATCCCGGTCCAGAGAGGGGCCAGAGGGGGGGGGGGTTAGTTCAGGCTGATGACCAGAGAGATCACCAGCAGATTCCACACGTTCCCGGCTGCTTTTTGAAACCCCGCTGAGAAGAAGAGCCGCTCCCGTCGCACCAGAGTGTGAGCGCTGCCGGAGACCGTCCTCCTGAAAACGGAGGCGCTTGGTGGCAGTAAAAGACCTCTGCTGTCTGCTCCCTCCCCCTGCTGCATAAAACATGACCCCCGGACACATCTGATCATCCCCAATCAGGGATCATTATTATTATAGCTACAGATAAATACACAGCCTGTTGGGCAGACATTCCCCTCTACATCAAATCAACTGAAATAAACTTTATTTAATGTCAATGTTAAGTACTCACTGTTGTTATCTCCTTAATATAAAGCATTCCCATGTGGCTTTCTCCTATTCAACATGTGGTAATTAAATACCTAACTGGCTGCAGGCAGATGTCTGGTTTAATAGTTTTCTTTCAGTGAGTGCCACGTTGTGGAGGCTTTATTTACCACGCGGACATAATTGAAACCAAACATAACTGTGTTTTCCGACTCTGAGCATCAGTAAAGAGCCGCTGGATGGGACCGGAAGTGGCTTCTGCTGCTTTCAAAGTCAAACGTGGGGAAGTTAAGAGGGGCAGAAAAGGCTGTTGGACGCCCAGTTCCCCAAGAAAAGAGTCACTGGTGAGAAGCAAAACATGGGACATACTGAAACATACATGACCTGTAAGTGATATGTTGTTAGAGCTTAATTGTTGATTGATTTGATCTAGAAACAATCTTTTCACAGTAGTTTCATTCAGTAAAAGGTTGAGATTTGCTACTTTTTCATTTAGACATTCCTGCAGATTTTTTTTTAACCCCAGATTTTTGTGGCTTCTAGATCTATTCAATTAGACTTTAGATAGTGAATGCTTCCTTAAACAGAGTGAAGAAACAATAATATTTTCATATAGCAGAACAGCATTCTCAACCAGTACAAAAAAATCTGTAGTTAAAACGAATGAATAAAATATAAATAGAGTGGAAGTTTATGGTATAGAAAATTAGTTGAAGGAATATCTACCTAGCTCTGGTAGATATAAATCTTGTGACGTGAAGATATCCCCATCATTGTTACACTGTATGCATGTGTTTTTTCATCTGTTAGTTGTTACTCTTATATCTATATTTTGTTATTATGTTTGCCTATATTAATGCATATTGTTGCAGTATAATGGTTCTAAGGTGGAAACAGCTGCTCTGGGACGTTTTTTTATTTTGTTAGATGAATAAATGGGGGCCTCGCTGCCTACAGAGCCGCCCCCCCCGTTCACATTTAAAGGGAGCCTTATTGTGGCAGCTGCGTCCGCCGTGGTGCGTTCACGTGCCTGTTGCTGATAACTTGACGTTGGTCCGGGTTGGGAAAAGCTGTTTATCCCTTCAGGAAAGTGATTCTGGGTTAGTGACGACACTTCCCCTCCTTCCTTGGATTTTTTTTCTCCCCCCCAGAAGTTTTTCTTATCTCTGCGTCGAGGCGCCCCAAAGGGAACTTTTCACGATTTTCCAGCTGTGAAATAAAACTCCCAACATGTCGCCGCCGTCTCGACGGCTTCAGACGAAGCCCGTGATCACCTGTTTGAAGACTTTCCTCATCTCCTACAGCCTCATTTTTTGGGTGAGTCGTAGACGTGTAATGGGGGGCAGCGAGTTAAAAAGGGACAACAATGGGCTCAAAGCAGCTGCGGTACTAACGAGGCTAACAACAAAATCAGTTCAGGAGTTTAAATGTTTGAGGTGGCCGTTGGCGAAGAAAAATGTCACTTGTTGAAATCCAGCGACCCTTGTAAACAAAAGTTTAGATTTATCAACCTTTAGAATGTGACCGTTAACCCTTAACGTTTTTTTACGTTGAATTATTAAAGTTTAAAAGCCGTTTAGGTCGTTCTTGAACGTTGTATTATCAACGTTTAGAAAGTGACCTTTAGCCGTTAACCTTTTTTTTTTTCAAAGTTGGATTATCAGTGTTGAGAAAGTGACCGTTAGCTGTTAACTTCGTTAAAAACAAACTTTAAAAAGTTTCGCAGGTTGAACCGACAATTAAATCGGCTAATCGACTAATAACTGAAGCCACACAGCTGGCAATTAGCAGAAGTTTGATTAAACTAGCCAAAAAGCCTCTTATGCTTATATTCTCTTTTCTTTTGCACCGTCGGAAGCTCCCACTTTACACCGTTGTTCTGAAAGATGGAGAAAGCATTTCCGTGGATGTCTTTTTTTAGGTCATATTAGCTATCAAATTAGCATATTGTCTTTCTGTTGGCTAACTAATCAGCAATGCGTTTATTTTATCGAAGTATTCTTACCTTGTTTTGATATCCTGTTAGGCTTTGTTGACATGTCATGAACTATTAAAAATATTTGTTAGCAGTTAGGAAAGAAAAGGCTTGTTTTTGGATTAGAAAGTAGGATCAATTTGTCTGTGCCTGCCTACCTGTCAGAGTATGATCATTTTAGTTTATTATTGGTACTTGTGCATGTATTCTAATTGTTTGCAACACTGTATTCTATGTGTGTATTTTGTTTAGTTTTTCTTAACCTTGAATTGTGCCATCTTTTTTTACTTATAGCTTCAGTAAGAGATCCATAGCTTTATTTTGGCTTGGTTGACCTTCTCATTCTTTCAGTTTTAGTTTGATCATTAAAAGCCTGCTTCACATCTGCGCCAGACGACGTGAGCGCGTGGAAAAAATGTGTCATTTGGTCTCATCTGTCTGTGAAAATGACAAATGAGTTCAACTTAATAATTTGAAAACCTGAGAGAACCTTAATTACCAGCTGCATGCGCACATGTTTGTTCAGAAAAAGTCAAACCCGCCTGTCTTGGGTGGAAAATGAGCACTTATCGCGGCTCTGGTTGATAATCTTTGGACCGATCAAACAGCCAGCTGGGTTTAATGCTGCTGCTAACAGAGTTCAGGCCGGGGCTTTTATCAGGTCGTTTATTCGGCTGGCTGTCGGAGCTGTTGCCTCCCCGCGGGTTAATGGCTGGAGAACAGAAACCCCGAAGAAGACTCTGACATGTTTGAGCCACGGTCTGATGTGTTTTCACCGATGAATAAAGACCAGCGTGCTCATCAGATATGAGAGGGGGGGGGGCTGAGACTGTCGAATGTGAGGAGGCCTGTTTGTCTCGCGGCACATATTGCCTCAGAGATACTGTCCGCTTGAACTCATTTGCATTTGTTCCCCTGACAGCCGGGAGGATTTGATAAAGGAAATCAATGTGGGAAATGGTGTTTTTCCAGGATTCAGCACTATGGTTAGGCACAAAGAATCCCTGATTTCTTCCAGAGTGAATGGAAATCACTGGTGTCTCTGAGTTGACTGCACAGTTTACACCCAAGCAGGTTATTTCAGAGCGAGGTGACCCAAAACGGGACCCAAAAGGTCCCTTTTAGCAGATTTTATGAACAGAAATACAGTGTTTTTCCTAAATCTTTATATGGATTTGAAAAAGAAACTGAGTATTTTCAGCCTCTGAAAGTGGCTTGTTGGCTTTTCTCCTGGTAGGTCACAAATATATGCACAGGGAAATCTGCATTTGGTAGATCTGATCATGTTGGCCACGCTGCCACACATTTTGTTGTGTAAAAAGGCGTGAAGCTCCCAAAATCTGCTGAACGGCGGCCACAGCGGCGGGAGGCTGAGGTGGTGGTTTTCCGTCTCTGATTGGGGGCTTTTGTGTCCGCTGGTCCCCTGGAAACCAGCCGGTGTGTCCGCGCAGCTCTTTGTCTGACCGCTCCTGCTGTGGCCTCCAGTTCACAGGCGTGATCCTGCTGGCCGTCGGGGTGTGGGGGAAGGTCAGCCTGGAGGCCTACTTGCTCCTGGCTTCTAAGGACAGCACCAATGCGCCATATGTTCTCATCGGGACCGGAGCCACCATCGTTATTTTCGGGCTCTTCGGCTGCTTCGCCACCTGCCGCGGGAGCCCGTGGATGCTCAAACTGGTGAGTGGGGCGGCGCCCTCCGCCCTCCCTGTGGCGCGTTCTGGTGGTGACCTCTGCTCTCTGTCAGTACGCCATGTTCCTGGTCCTGGTGTTCCTGGCCGAGCTGGTGGCCGGAGTCTCGGGCTTCGTCTTCAGGCACGAGGTGAGGCCCCAAAAGGGAAAGTGTTTCTGTAAAACGCCAGCGTCTGCTCGTCGGTGTCTGTAATCCTCCCCATTTCAAATCCACCAGATCAAGGATACGATGGGCGCTGCCTTTAAAGACGCGGTGCAGCATTACAACAACACAGGCACCATCAGCAGCGCCGTGGACACCACCCAGAGGACGGTGAGGGAGGAGGGGGCCAGACGGGGGGGCCTCGGGGCCAGAACACACTCAACCTGCCGGTTTGTGTGTTTAAAAACTGTGATCCAACCGGCGTGTGTCCATTTTCCAGCTGCATTGCTGTGGAGTGCAAAATTACACGGACTGGAAAGACACCAACTACTTCCAGGAGAAGGGAATCCCCAAAAGCTGCTGTAAGGACAGCAACAACTGCACTCCAGAGGTGCTGAAAGACCTGGAAAAGGCCGCAAAGGAAGTCTACCTGACGGTGAGCTGAAACTGGCAACAGCTATGAGGTTTGGCTTTTTAAAAGAATCCCCAAAACAAACTGAGCGTCCCTCTCCGGCTGTGCAGGGCTGCTTCTCCCTGGTGACCACCGTGATGGAGGCCAACCTGGGAATCATCGCCGGGATCTCCTTTGGGATTGCCTTCTTCCAGGTTTGGCTCACACACGCATGTTGTTGTGCAGCTTTTTTTGTCACTGGAAACTAACAAAGAATTAACCCACGGTCAGCTCATGTGGTCAGAGCTTAATGAGATGTCTGGGCTCAGCCGGGTCTTCCACGTTTCTACCGTCATCTGTTCGCCTTGTGATGTAGCATCAGAACTAGAAGGACTCATAAACTCTGAGGGTTCGCTCGTCCTGGAAGAGACGGTTTTACTCGTCTTTCTTTTTTCCGATGACTTGCCAAGTTTGATATGATTGACAGGCCTGACCTGAGCCAGTCGTGTGAGCCTAATGCTGACGTTTACTCTGTAAGATGGCAGCAGGTGAACGTTGGGGCCTGGACTTTTTGGTATCATGACCTCTGACCTTTGTTTGCTAACTGAAGTGCAGCCGGCCCGTGTCGTGCAGCTCCTGAACTTCAACGTTTTTATGAATTGATTTTTTTCTGCGTTTCAGCGGCTCCATCTCAGAGACTGTGTTTGTCTTTCAGCTCATCGGGATATTCCTGGCCTGCTGCTTGTCTCGATACATAACCAACAACCAGTACGAGATGGTCTAAGAGTGGCAGGTCAGGCTCTGATTGGCTCAGCTCCGACTGTTTGACCGTTTCCACGTTCGGAGTTAAATGAGCTGCTGTCTCTTTTGTCTGCAGGTCGCTGATGGGAAGCTCCTGACGGGGGATTTTAATATTGTGTGTGTTAGTGGACATCATTTTAGAAAGGGAAAAGTCGCAGTTGCTTCTTTTACTCTGGAACGCTGAACGAGCTGAAGGGAAAACCCCCCCGGCACCGTTTGACCAAAAGGAAAAGGGACGCAGACGTTGACAGATCATTGATTCCAGACCAAACCCGTTACGCATAGCAGACATTATGTAGTCCTCACTCTTTTGTTTAGGTGCATTTGCCAACATTTTTATTCTCCTTTTGCTGCCTTATTTTGTTGTTAGTGGACAGTTAGCTGGTAAAGTCTTCGTAGGTGATGTCACTGCTCTGACTCGGAGCTGAAAACGGACCCCCGGCGTGTGCCCGCTCGAGCGGCCGTCCACGTCCTCAGTGTTAGTGTTTGTTTGTTTTTCTGTGTGGATGCATGTGAAATACTTGAAAAATAAAGATGAGATCCTGTATCTGTACCAGCGTGCGGCCTCTGGATGTTTGTGCTCCTCAGACGGGGAACAGACGGGGGTGGACGATCAGTAGCCCCCGTGTGGAGGACACCCACTGGGAAAACACACTGGAAGTTATTTTCTATTCAAACCTTTTTTTAGTATAAAGAATAATGTAAATGTTTTGTTTTTTTTGGTCCCTAAACTATTAGTGTGTTTATTAGCTTGGCCGTCAGAGCTGCTGTGTCATTGTTCACATGGGAGTGACCAATACCGTGTGAGAATGTGAAAACAGTCACTTTCATTGGCTCAGATCATAGAGGGATTTACAGTTCATAGTTGAAAGTTTGTTTATGATTAAACAAACGGGTTCAGCCATTTTAGTAATACTACAGCTGTGTACTATTTCACAAAAGCTGAGTTTTCAGAGCAGAGCTGATGGTTTTCTGGCTAAAATAAAGCACACTTGCTTTGATGCCCTGACAGATATGAGCCCACATCCCTTCATCAGGTCACCTATTGATCAGAAAGCCCGACTTGAGTCTTTTTTAAGTGGATCAGCTCACTCACAAGCAGCATCATGTTGCCTGCTGCCACGTGATTGAACCCTTCAGGCAGCTGCCAGAAGCACGCGACATACCTCAGTGGTTCAGAGACACGGCAGCATGTGTGTGTTGATGAAAGGACCCTGAAAACAGCTATGTGCTGCTCATTAGCAGTGATACAGTAACCAGGACTACGCTCTAAAATAATAAACGGGCGGAGTCGGTGCACTTTGCCCCAGAGGACCTTTATGATTCAAATGTGGATTTGTTTTAATTTTGTGCTAATTGTAATTGTATTTTTAGACCAGGAAGGCTCAAATACCAGATGATCTGAACTGGTTTTGTCTCAATGCGGCTTCACTAGTGACGTCACAAAGAAAAAGTTTTTACAAAATGGAAAGAAAGAAAAAACATCGCTATCACAAAAGATTCCACCAGACACAAATGACCTTTAGTTTTTTTTCTAAAAATGAAATTATTGTCTTTCTTGGTTTTAAAGTTGCAGACCAATACTAATCACAGTGTGTTGCAACACTAAACAGAAAAATGCACAAAGATTCTAGTTTTACAGGGACTTCAATTCAAAGGTTCGTTATTTTAGATCCCCACATTACTGAACAAGGAATATTTGGTTTGAAAAAATAGTTTACAGGCAAGTTTTTTTAAAGTTTTTTTTTTACATGAGATAGACCTAAAGTAATTAAGTCTCAATTAGAAAAACAAACACACCTGATCTTCTGTGAGTTAATGAGTGATTGTGAACAGTCACCTATTGCTGCTGTAAGATAGCTGATTTCTCCAGGTGTGAATGAAAACAGAGATGAGAGGGATCCCCCCCCCCCACAGCAGTGGCTAACCTGATCAGTCATTGACTCCACCTGGACTCCGTCTCCAGCCTCTTAGCAGCAGAATGCTGCACAAAAGCTGGTGAACCTGCAGAGGTTTTGTGGCTCCGAGTCGGTGTCTCCATCAGGAGGATCTTTATGCTGTGTCCGGTAAGACCGGCCTTTCCTTCAGAGGATCTAACCATCCATGCGGTGTATATACTCACGCTATGTTTAGGTAGACTGTTTATGTTTAGCATATATGATTTGATTAATACCCATCTTCATAAACCAACCGTTTTAAGAAGCCATCAGGGGGCTCTAGTTGAACTAGCACGGTTTGGCCAGCAGGTGGCAGCGGTGCGCAGACATTTAAAATAACAGACTAAATTGCGAAAGCAAAAAAAAAGAGGGCGGGGGAAATAAAACTAAATATCAAAATCAGAAGTTTCTGTGCTGCTTTAAGAAGAAGCACCCGCCTCTGGCAGAAACGGGTGCCGCCACACAGCCCGGTACCGGCCCCGGTGCCGGCGGGCCTCCGTCCGCTCAGGGGTTACTCGCGTGCACATGAACTCTAATAAATGCCGTTAGAGTGGCAGTTGGGAGGTTTGACGTGATTGGTCAGTTGAGGATCAGACGCTGCAGAGGTCCCGCCCCCCTCTTTCAGACCGTCCAATCCACTCGACGGAACGACAGGGGGGGCGGGCTTGGTTTCCTCTTCCCTTCCCTGCCGGTGCCTTGTATATAAAGCCGGGCTAAGCCGTTATACAGCTAAGGAAATCATCATTTTCCTTCCCGGCGGTTGTTGTCCGGTCCCCCCGAGAAGACTTGACTCGACTTTTCCAACTAAGAAGGTTGACTTCAGGTTTTCTCGTGTTGCAATCCAGGTCAGTTTTTATTCTTTTTTTTTTTCCTTTATTTTCTTTTTCTGTTTGGTTTTGCCTGAAGCCGTTGACGCACGTAGTGATCCGGATTACAGTATCCGGAAGTCAAGGTCATAGTGATGGGATTCGAGTATGTTTAGTCAACCAATATGAGGGTGTTTTAATCATGAACTCGTGGAAATTAGGAATATTTATTTATTTTTTAGCGTGGGGGAGGGTGGGGGGGACTCTATGCATGTATGTTGGCCGTAGGATGTGAAGGATGCCTCTGGTTTCCAGCTGGTCAGGGGGGGGGGGTTTGTTCAGCTTCCACCTGCCCGCTGCATCCTCATGTCTTCTTCTCTTTCCAGCTCAGACGCCGCAGGTACTTCTTCTCGCCCTGTAACTAAGCCGACCCAAAGCCTCCTCTCCGAGATGATGCAGATCAGCAGCGACCCGGCCAGCAACAAGCACTCGCTCATCAACGTCATGCACCGCTTCATCGCGGCCGCCAACAACATGGACGAGACCATCATGGTGCCCAGCCTGCTGCGGGACCTGCCGCTGGAGGAGCGGGCGGCCAGCCGGCCGGAGGCCAACAACAACGAGGCGCCGTGCGCCAACAAGCAGCGGGACATGTACGAGCACTACCTGCTGGTCAAGTCCATCAAGAACGACATGGAGTGGGGCCTGCTGAAGCGCGAGATGAGCAGCGGCGCCAGCTTCCTGGAGATGGCGGTGAAGCAGGAGGAGCAGCAGCCGGTGACGGGCGACCTGGTGGTGGACGACAACGCCGACCTGGAGCACCAGTTCCACTACCACCTCAAAGGACTGTTCGGGGTTCTGTCCAAGCTCACCATGCAGGCGGACCACCTCACCAACCGGTACAAGCGGGAGATCGGAGGAGGGAACTTCATGAGATAGAGGCCGCCGGCCTCCCTCTCTCTCTCTCTGTCTCTGTCTATGTCTCTCGCCCCGGACTGCTTAACTTAGAACACTGGGATGTTTTTGTGACGTGTTGGTGGACGGTGATCCGATCAGGGCTCTCATTCTTTCTCTTCTGACACTCCACCCCTTCTCCTGAAACCAGTGATGCCGGCACCCATCCCTGGGGGGGGGGGCCCCGGTCCGGAGGCCGCCGCCGCGCGCGGCGGAGGTGATCTCTCTCTCTCTCTCTCTCTCTCTCTCTGAAAGCCAGATGAAGCCCAGCTGGTCTACGCAGAACCCCGCCCTCTCACTCTGTCTCGTCTTAAATTGTAAATTTCTGTATGAGAGTTTAAGAAAAAAAAAGAAAAAAAGTTTCCTTGTAGGAGATGTCGAATGCTGGTTGTTCTGTCCCTCCTTTTTTATAAAGGATCTTAAAGCTGAGCTGAAGGGCTCTTACCTGCAGAAGGTGTCAATCTTTCCACTCTGGTGTGCCTTGACTTCCTGTCCCCGCCTGCCCTGGTCGGCTCACCGCGACTGTAACCGCTCATTCGTTTGTCCATGGATATTTCAAAACCAGTTTTATATTGCTGCAGTACGACAGAAATAAACGATAAACCTGACCTTTGCTTCCACCTTCACTGACTTAACACGATTTGTGACATTTTATAGCAGCGGCTGCTATAAAATGCAGAGTTTTCCTCGGTCTGCTGCTCGTCCAGTTCCCGATTTCCCTCTTTAACTAACGCTCACGTCTCAAAGGGTTAACTTTACTGCAGCCCGCCATCATATCGCACAAATGCAAATAATCTGACACGTTGGCGGCAGGCAGCCGATCTACAAGGTTTCCCAAGGCTGCCGTCCTCGACTGGTACAGAAGCAGTTCACGTCTAATTGATTTTGTTTTGTTTTTACAAGGTTAGATGAAAACCTTCTAATTTAAAGTTCCTGAAGTCCAAGATCCCTTTCCATCTAAGGCTCATGACCCTTCCTGTCCCCTGACAAGCCCAAACGCTGTCTTGTCAGCTGAGGAAACACCATAAACGTTAGCAAATTACACAAAACAGCCAGATGTGACAAGACTTCAACAATCATTTAAACACTGTAAAAGCAAGTTTTATGTTTTAATCGCCTCATTCGCATATTTCTGCAGCTCTGAGTGAGATGAGTGTGAATTAGACATCGGAGGCTGTGTGCCACTTGGTGTGTCCGTCAGTGGCTGAGGCCCTCCCCTTAGCAACAGCTCCACCAATCCTGTCACAAAGCCCCCCCCCCCCCCCTTCCTCCCGACGGCACAGTGATTAAGAGGCTGCAGCGTGATGAAGGGTATCCAGGAAGCAACATGGTCAAGCAAATTGCCTCTCCCAGCACACGAGGGTCAGAGAGTTTGCCTGAGAGACGGGCTGGACGGGCCCGGTGCCTCCCGTTTCCACGCACAATGGGCCACACAAAGGCCAGCGAATCAAAATGGCTGCACTGGTCAGCGCGCCTCCCATGAACCGGTGGCAGCTGGCACCACTTGGAATCCCAGCAGAGGAGCTTTTTAAAGAACATTTAAGAAACAACCGGACACCCGACGTGTGTTGTAATCTGTGACTCCACAGCTAATTCAGTGGTGACCAGAAATGACCCGTCTAACATATCTACATTAGCTTTTAGAATATGGCTCCCTAAAAATAAACACAAACATCTCAGATACTAATCTTTTAATGAAGCTGTTTTTGTCTGAAAATAAGCACACAGCTTGTTTCATATGTCCCTGGTTTGAAAACAGTTGACTGAAAGCATCATTATTCTAAGTACTACCTGGACATCACCATTTGTTGGCCCTCCTCCATCCCACCACAGTGACATGATCAGCGCCACTCTCACGGAGAAGAGGAACCAACAAGCATTGTCTGTTGGTTTTTTAGATGCTCAGTGAGATTCATCCAAGCAGAAAATGGTGTCACATTTCAGCCTGGGGGGGGTCAACAGTCAGGCCTATTGTCTCCACCGACTTTACAAAGTCACTCGTTTTAAAGCCAACCGCAATCTTTCTGCTTCGTAGGAAATAAGAAACATCTAAATATAGCCACGTAGTAGTTTTGTCCTGTTAAAAAAAAAAGGCAAATTGGGAAATAGTGTTTCCTGAACCTCACCAAGTAGAAGGAAATAAAAATAAATGTTGCTTTCTAAATAGATTTGGCCACCAAAGTGTTTGACTAAACCTTTTCCAATGTTATTTATAAAGTTAAGGCTGTAATATTTCCGAATTTTCAAAAGGCTTGATTTAAATTGAATATTCAATAGCGTATTGAAGTGAATCTGGTGTTCTGCAGAAACATTTACCGGTGAAAGTGGCGTCCACCGTGGCATCAAGAAGCAAAAGATGTAGAAAGGGAGGATGACGTAAAGGTGATGAAATTCCAGAGATTTGTGAACAGCTTGTTTCAACAAGAGGCCCCAAAGGAAAACCCACAATTGTGAGATTACCGTAAAAGTTTTTACGACAGAAATGAGTTGAGCTCCGCCTCAACCCAACAAACCAACCTGTTGTGGCCTGCTGGCTCAATTCAGGCATTAGGACATATTTTCTTAGCCAAAGGGGACTCCCTCTGTTTCTACATCTGCCGAATGTTTTATTCAGCCGCACATTTCCTGCAGTAAAGACCCTTCAAATGTAGGTTTTCCGTCGTATGCTCAAACCAGGCTAACCTCAAAGGATTGAAATGATGAGTCGGCAATTCTGCAATGCAGACTGACTGTCAACAGGCTCACATTAATGTCCTCAGAAACTTTAGAGCGAATGGCTACTGGGGACATTTGAGATTTGATACGGCTCAAAAGCAGCGAGGGGGGGGGGGGGGGGGGGGGGGGGGGGTTTGCTGTTTGATCCCGCTGCGGGACTCCAAAGTTCACGTGGGGTTAGGGTGTGATGCGCTACGGCCTAATTGTACTTATCGTGGCTGTGTCTAAAATTAGCCGGATGTGGGCTAATTCTGGCCCAACGTGTCCCGGGTCCAGGGGCAATGTGACGGACGCATGCCGGGACGGCGCGGTGTGGAAAGACCCGGGGCAGACGGCCGGTCTTTGCCCCCCCCGCCCGGCCGGCCGGCGGTCAGCAGGAGCCTGCGTGACCGGCCGGCAGCAGTGTCTGGCGGGCCCCATCTTTGGCAACGGCCCCGGCGTTGCTCAACGGCTGTAAAAGTGGAAAACCAGACAGCTGGGATTACGGCTCTGCCTGTCGCGGTTATCTACAGTTCCAGTTCAAAACCCGTTCACGCCCGCACGTGTTTGCTCTTATCACAAACGGAGAACAATTTCTAGGACAACACCACGACTCCTTAAACAAACAGCTGGACGATGTTTGCTTGAGACAAACCCTGAACAAAGAGAGAAAAAATTGAAGGGAAATAAGAAAACATTTACTCATCCTGAACCTTTCTGCAGACTAAAACTACTGCAAAAAGGAGCCAGCGCATTGTTGATCTTTTTGAATAAATCCGTAATTATAACTAGCAGGTCTTGAACACAGATCTAAAGATTTTAACATTTTAAATGAAAATGTTATGCAGTTACGTTTATTTGGCAGCAACTTTTATCCAAAGCTCCCCTGAATGTAAATGAAATGATGAAGGAATATTCTTTGCTATGACCTCATATATAGCGTAACAGGATGGAAAAATAGGTGAAAATCCCTTAAATGGGAATCCTGAAAAGCAGATCACAAAAGAGGAGTCTGACCCAAAGGGACGCCGTCTGACCACAGTGGCTTCATCAGCCCTTTGCTTTCCCTTGTTTCTGGTTTTCCTTTGACATTCTTAAGGTATTTGAAATTTCCTTTGCACCACTTGCCATTGTTGCTCTTTGGCTACTTCCTGTTTTGTTCTGTAGGAAATTACAGATCACACTCACCTGTTTACTGCGCTCTAATGATTTCCCCTTTGTGTACAGAGGCCCTGTTTCCTATGCTTTCTGCCCCCCCCCCCCATCGTTCAGCCGCTGTGTTCCAGCTGTCTTTGCATTCTTTTTGTGGAGGTAGACTTTGAGGATCGACCGCCTTTGGCTGCACTCTTTTGACAAATGGTGGCCGCACAACCCCGGTGAACAGATTTCATGAAAGAGGAAAATGTCTCCCTTTGTGCTTGTTCTTCCTGTGTGTGTCTGGGTTCTCTGCGGCCTCCTTCCACCGTGCAAAAAACCGTGCCCGCCGGATGAATGGCCGGCTCTAAAACTGCCCGTAGGAGTGGGCGTGGCTGTGTTTGCTCGTCCCTGTGACACACCGATGACTGGACCAGGCGCGGCCCCCCCTCTCGCTACTAACAGCTACTAAGGATAAGGAACATGCCCGGAGTTACTGGGTCCGATACAAGCCCAAACCATGATATGCTCACTACCGTGCTTAACATTTACTGAGGTTCGGGCCCCTCCGGATGTCAGGGCCCAGAGGCGGACGCCCCTCGTTTGTGAGAGGATTCCATCCATGTATGAATGGATCGTTCCCTAATGGGGTCGCGGGGGAACTGGAGCCTAACCCAGTGGTCAATGGGCGAGAGGTCACTCTGGACGGTCCGCCAGTCCATCGCAGGGTCACACAGAGACACACAACCACGCACACTCACTCCTGAGGGCAGTTTGAATGTCCAATCAACCTAACATGCAGGTTTTTGGACGGTGGGAGGAAGCTGGAAAACCTGGAGAGAAAACACCAGGGAGGACATACAGACTCCTCCCAGAAAGGTCCTGGTTCCCCGGGATTCGAACCCAGAACCTTCTGGCTGTGAGGCGATGGTGCTAACCAGCCATGACAGGATTCCACAGGACAATAACCAGCACACATCTCTGAATGTCTGGGAATTCTAACACGGAAAACATTCTCCGAGTCAGTCTTGTTGTTTCCCATCATGGCTCAGATTGTACTTTTCACAGGTTAGAACTTGTTGGGAAGCGAGTCGTCGACTGGGACTAAAAAACAAGTTTGACGTCGCGTTATTGGACGCACGCCGCCGCTGCTCGCCTGAGCCGGCGTTTCCAGGCCCGCCGGTGACGCGGAATCGCCCCATGCGAGGCCCAGGCCGGCGCGGGCGGTCCCGGGGACAATGCGAGGCCTTGTCCCGCCGACATAATGCGAGCCGGCGTGCTCGCTGATGTCATTAGCCCTCCGCATTTCTGTGTCAGAATCCACCCGGAGCAGCGTGGTCGGAGGAAAACAAGCCGCTCCTCAGAAAGGGGCCCGCGAACGCATCCATAATTCATGCTGCTTCTCCTCCAGCAGCAGCAGAGGAAGACTGTAGAGGAAGTTTAGGGACGTTCAGGGACAGACCGGCGGGTTACTGTTCACCGGCACGCTGAACTTTGAGCCGTGTTAACTCACATCTGAACATATTTAGCATCAGTCAATAGCTGAGGCTCTTTCCAGTACAGTCTGAAGTACACCAGAGGTGTCGGTCGGCCGCATGCTCGGACACTCAGCCGCATTGTTGATTCAATTAAAGAAGTTCTAATGAATCAATATTGAAATGAAAATCAATAAAAAATTGATTGAAATCATTAAAATTTGTTTTTCTGACATTTATGTTTGTGGGTGTTTTCCGCTTTCTTTCAGTTTGTCTCTGGCATCATTTTGGGTCTATGTGTGTCTTTTTTGTTGTCTTTTTTCGTCTATTTTTTTGCCTTTTTTTGTGTTTTTGTCTCTGATCAGAGTCTGAGTAACTTCTAAAGGTCAATGTCTTTCTCCGTTCTTCTTTTTGAGTCAGTTTGTGAGTCTTGGA